GCCAGCCTGGTCCCGGGAAGAGGGGGAGGGCTGGGGGGCATCAGGTGGCTGGCTCAAGCCGTGCCAGGTGCAGGGTCTGCTGGCTGGGTGCTGGCAGGCTTGCACCTGGCATGGGCATCGTAGCCAGCCCGTGCCCCTTTAAGGGGTCCGGGGCCGGGAGGGGGGCGTACGAGTTTCCCTGGTGGTGCCCAGAGTGGCCACCAGGGAAAGCTGGGGAGGGCTAGCCTCCCACTAGTTTGAATTAAGGGGCTACACAGCCCTTAATTCGAACTAATAAGTTCGAACTAGGCTTAGTCCTCGTACAATGAGGTTTACCTAGTTCGAACTAAGCGCTCCACTAGTTCGAATTAAGTTCGAACTAGCGGAGCGCTAGTGTAGTGCCTATCAAAGTTAATTCGAATTAATGTCCGTTAGTTCAAATTAACTTTGTAGTGTAGACATACCGTTATTTATTAGAGTGTAATTTGTATTGCCACTTGAGGTCAGAATGGCTTTCTATGGTTTGGTTTGGTTTTATTTTTGTCCTGGGTGACTTTTTTTACAGCCTCTCAAAAAACAGAGTATTTATGAGGACTATCAATATATCTATGATTTGAATGATCCTATTTGCATGACCAGCCCCTAAACTTAAGAAAAAAACAACTGGCATAGTGATTATATATGATTTAATTGGTTTATGTTTTTAAAAATTGTATTTATATGTATTTTAATATTTTTAAAATCCTGAGTTTAGTTTTAAGTTTTATCGTGATAGCTTTTGTTTTTGGTGCATTGACTTACAGCTAAGTTGCTGTTATTAATTTTGACTTGTCAAGAGATAACAAGTATTTAATGGGCAGACCAAGGAAACACAAATATGAGACATTTGTGAAATAAGCAATGATCCCAGCTATTCAGCCAATCAGTATTTTGAAGCCATCATTTCTTAGTTGGGTTAATTGAGAAGAGCCTGTTACATCCAGTGAAAAGGAACACAGGTTGAAACCATCTCAGGCAGAGAGTAAAAAGGAGCTTTATACTCCAGAGTAGGCCAATTCACTACCTGCTCACCTCTTCATTCTATCTCCTTGCTCTGCTATCGGATTGAAATTCATTTATTTGTTCTCAGAAGATGAGTCTTCCAGTTTGCAGCTTTGGAATAAGGGTTGACATTTTTCAAAGAAAGATTGAGGGTTTAGCCACATGTCTTCTATTAAAATTCATGGCTAACTCCCCTTGGAAATGCAACCATAGTCTCTAATCCACGTTTGTTCCTCTTCCTTTACATGAATTTTTGTTGCTCATAAATCTTATCTATTTTCCTCATCAGAATTTTCCTCCCCATGATTTGTGTTATCTTGCTTCCTGATGCATCCCAGTGATCTCTGCTTCCTGACTAGCAGATGCAACCTAAATTAAAAATTGGACTTTGTCCTGTGTAAGCTGATCCTTCCATAACAGACATTCGGCAGTTTGGAGGCAATTTATGTCCTTATTCTTCTCTGTGTATTTGTGTGACTGGATCACACTTTGGAAGCTATCTCCTAGGGTCACATATTCAGTGCCAGCCTAGCCATGCAAATGGTGCCAGTGAAAACATTTGTGACTTTGGGCTTGTCCTCTATAGAGAAATTGACCTATGTAATTATGCAGCTGTAACTGTACCAGTACAACTGGTCCCACATATTCTGGCATAATAAATGTTAAAAGGAAAGGGAGAAAGATGATGGGGAGGTAGAGGGGAGACAATGACAATGTTAAAAATGAGCTGAGAGGCCAGATAAGTAAGAGGACACAAAGCTTAGGGTATAGATCAGCAAATGTGGCACCAAAAGTTATAATCAAACAAGTTAATCCAAAAAAGATGACTTAGATGATAAATGTACTAGCGAGTTATTTGGCAAATTAGCAAGGCAATCAGGAAACAATGAAGTCAGCTAAATAAGAGCAGAACAAAGTAGGCAATAATCAATGCCTCAGGCTGTTAATTAGAAGCAAAACATCTGGGTAAAACAAGTAAATGTGGTAGCAGTTAAATGATGGTTAATTAGAAAAAAATCAATCAGTTGATTTAGCAGAACAGATAGGGTATGTCTACACTACCCCGCTAGTTCGAACTAGCGGGGTAATGTAGGCATACCGCACTTGCAAATGAAGCCTGGGATTTGAATTTCCCGGGCTTCATTTGCATAAGCGGGGAGCCTCCATTTTTAAATCCCCGCTGGTTCGAACCCCGTGCAGCGCGGCTACACGGGGCTCGAACTAGGTAGTTCGGACTAGGGTGCCTATTCCGAACTACCGGTACACCTCGTTTCACGAGGAGTAACGGTAGTTCGGAATAGGAACCTAGTCCGAACTACCTAGTTCGAGCCCCGTGTAGCCGCGCTGCACGGTAGCCGCGCTGCACGGGGTTCAAACCAGCGGGGTTTTAAAAATGGCGGCTCCCCGCTTATGCAAATGAAGACCGGGAAATTCAAATCCCAGGCTTCATTTGCAAGTGCGGTATGCATACATTACCCTCCTAGTTCAAACTAGGAGGGTAGTGTAGACATACCCATAGGGACTAAAGGCAATAAGTGGGGAGATCAGTTGGGTGCATTGATTAAATGAGGTACAGAGGACTGACAGTCATGCAGAGCAGGATGTGAATGAGGTGGCAGGGAATTTTCAGTTTGGTTGCAGAAGCAGTGACAACTGCCGTAGAAGTTTGGTGTTATGCCTTTGCCTCCAGTTGTTCTTGGCATCTTCCATACTTAAAAATGGAGGTTGGAAAGAGGGCAACAACCCTACAGTTCTGGTGTTGAAAAGATCCTCTCACATTTGCTACATCACATTTGCCTGTGACTGCTGAATTCATACATTTCCATTTTCACCCCTTCCATACTAAACATCTCTGCATCCCTAATCTCTGAACCCTAATCTACACTACAAATTATTTGGCAATAACTCCCTTGCTCAGGGGTATGAATAATCCACAATCCTGAACAACATATTTATATCGACCTAAGCACCAGTGTAGACAGCACTGTGTTGGTGGGAGTGCTTCCTCTGTTGACCTTGGCATGGTGGAGTTATTAAGCGGAGGGGTGAACTCTTCCTTTGGCTTAGAACAGTCGTCTCCAACCTTTTTGTGGCCAATAACACATTCATGTTTTCAGAAGAGCATGGAGGGCGCCAACAATTTTTCAAGGCTTATTTTGTACCCAAAGAATTTTTTTAAATGTACACTTTGACCCCCATTAGCCCCACCCTCATCTCTGTTAACCACGCCTCTGACCCCCATTAGCCACATCCCCTGACTCCCATTAGCTATGCCTCTGGAGGCAACACTCTTGGAGCAAGATGGACACATGACCAAAAGTAAAAGGTGTCATGTGACCCCCCTCTAAGGACTCTTCCCACCATCCTCCCACCAACAGGGATTAGTTTGGCCCCCACCAGGCCCCCCTCATGCACCTATCCTGCAATTGCATTAACCCAGTGTGTGTGACATTAACTCAGGGGCGGAGAGGCTGTGGGAAGTGTTCCCTCTAAGAGTTTCCTCCTATGAGCAGAATGAATTTTGTGTTGTTCTGAGTTTTGTGCCGGTACTGAGTTCATGTGGCTTGTTTGGATGTGCCACTGTGGCACCCAAGTTATTAATACATATCTTATAAATCTCTACCTTTTCCCTCTGCGGCCATGTCTCCCCTTGCTCCATCAGCTCCCCTGGTGCCTGCTGCCCCACAACCCTTCACCTTCCTCTGCTGTCCTGATTCCTGCCCTTCTCACAGCCCTCAGCCTTCCTGAGACCTGCCCCCCTCCACCAGCCCTTCTCTCCCCTCTGTGCACACTCCTCCAGTAGCCCCATTCTGATCATGTGAGCTACCCCTTCTCATTCCCTCTCCTAACACCTCCCTCTACACACTCGCCCTGCCTCTCTCTTCTGGTGCTGGTCCCTCCCCTGCAGGTGTCTGCCCTTCTGCTTCACCCCGAAAATCTCCTTGCACCTGCACCTTCCCTTACTCCTGCACCCTCCTGGTGCCTCCCCTTCCCGGTAGAGGCTCCTACACTAAGCTCCAGAGGTTTTCAGTCCACACCTTTGCTATTCACTACTCCCTGATGCAACGAGTCCAAGGGGATGCTGCCTTCAGAAGAGCTGTGTTGCAGTCAGCATGCCAGTGAACTCCCACCTCTGGACATACTGCTTACAATCACCTATGTTGAATAGACATGCACAATCACTCGAAGAAGAGTGATGTTTCTGAACCTGTTTCCATAACCGGTGTTCTTCAAGATGTGTTGCTCATGTCCATTCAACTTCCTGCCCTCCTTTCCCACTGTCAGAGTTGAATGGCAAGAAGGAACTGAGGATGGAGGGGACAGGAGGTGCCCTATATAGCATGGCATGCTATATAGCATGGCATGAGAGCTCTTGAGCCAGCTCCCCTATTGGTACTGCTAAGGGAAAATCTTCAGGCATTAGTGCATGTGACAAGCACCCACAGCTAAGTTGAATGGATGAGCAACATACCAGTTACAGAAACAGGTAAAAAAAAATTTTTAACTTCTTGTCTCAGTAGTCGATAGTTGTCTATAGTAGTCTATGCTTAGTGACACTTTACCGCCTGGCCTTCTACAGATTGATACACATATTCTGCTGTGTTAGAAATCATCTTTCTTTTTCTCATTCAAGCTTATAACAGTCGAGGAGCAGAAGTTCCTTACAGAAACATTGTACAATACTGGTATCTTAATTGTCTGGGATCCAGCACCATATCATGCAGAAATTCATGAGGTAAGTAAGAACAACCAAATGAGATTTACACAATAGCTGTTACCTCAGTTTGGGTATGTCTACACTACCACCCTAGTTCGAACTAGGGTGGTAATGTAGGCAACCGGAATTGCAAATGAAGCCCGGGATTTGAATTTCCCGGGCTTCATTTGCATCTTGCCAGGCGCCGCCATTTTTAAATGTCCGCTAGGGCGGACTCCGTGCCATGCACCTACACACGGCACGGACTAGGTAGTTCGGACTAGGCTTCCTATGTGTGTGTTCACATTTGCTTTTTGCCATCCTTGCATGCAGTCCGCTCATGCACAGGTCTACAATTTTTGTCACCACAGTAGTCTGTAAAATCCCCTGCATGGTATTGCAACCATGTGCTAGGTTACAATGCCCAGGGTGGGAAGCCAGTCCCACTGAACAGCAGCATCTGGTGCATAGTGAGTGTAGGAAAGGCTTGTGTCAATTCCTCACCTCATTCCCAAGGTCTATGTCTTGCCCTGTTTCTGTTCTGAAATTTCTTAAATATTTCCATGACAAAATCATAGACCTACTTACAGAGAATGGGTTTTTTTCCAGGCAAATGTGACAGTCCCCGAGCTATCTATCTTTTATTGCCACAATAAGTTTCCCATTGGCTATTCTCATATTAGAGTAATCACTGCTGTATATAGTGTTCTCAAACTTGCTGTAAACTTGCTTCATTGTTCCAAGAATCCAAAAGTTATGCTGGACAGTCTGACCACTGTGGTCATTTTGATTTTGAAAGCACTAGTCTGTAGTTAGGTATAAATAGTTTATATTTGCAAAGGAAGACCTATTAAAAGGCCAGCAAATTCCTTTTACTCACATCATCTGGATTTTTTTAGTTACTGGATTAATAAACTGGAGTTGTATAGTGACTGCAAATAGCAGTTCAGTAGCTCTGTTAGCAGTCATCACAGTTGCATTATTATTATAATGAGCTCTCTCTCTTTTAGTAATTGGGTAGATTCCCCAGATGGGCAGCTTATTCAAAACTTTATTATAGAACTTTATCTTCTTTTGCCCCTCTTACTCAATCAAAAGTCAGAAGAAAATAGTAACAGTGAGTGTTCTCTCTTTGTGATGTGCTTATTGACTCTGCAGCCAGTAGAGTTGGAAATGGGAAAGTTTGCTTTATTTTAAAATAATAAAATAACTCTCAGTATTTGCACTACAGAAGAATTTCAATAGCTTAGATAATGCATCATCCTTCAAATAGGCCACCTTAGACTTAGAGTATAGGTCCTCATTATTCTCCCTTTCCTCTCATGTCTCCTCACTTGAAATCTGTACAGGTTGAACATCTGTGGTCCAGGACTCTCTGGTCTGGCAGCATCCGTGGTCCAGCAGAACCATGATGTTGCTGGATTAGAGAGTCCCAGCAGTAGAGGTTGCCAGGAGCTCGGAGTGGAACCTGCCAGTGGGGCAGCTGAGTCTGTGGGGCACCAGAGACTGCAGTCAGCAAAGCAGGGAAGCCAGCAGGGGGGTGCAGCATGTGGGACTACAGAGCTAACGACTTCCAGGGCCACCAGAGCAGGCAGGGTAGCAGTGCCCACACCTTATAGGTCTCCAGCAGGGCTTCTGCAACACTCATCCCTAGGAGGCTGGGGAGAGGAGCCCAGCAGGGAGGCTGATGCCTCTCCTCCCAGATGTCCCCTAATCCAGCGTTCTTCCTTGTCTGGACCAGTCAGGTGCCAAGGGTGCTAGACCAGGGAGGTCCAACCTGCAGTTACATTCTTGTACAAAACAATAAGTTACCTCGATAGTTTCAATAATAAGTTAATATTCTGTCAGCATACTATTTTTATGGAGTTTCAAAGCATAATGTTCAAGGGCCAGGAGGCACAAGATCACTTAAGTGGCACAAAAACAAAGCTAAGGATTATGCTGCATCAAACAAAACTTCATCAAGTAAAACATGCAACATGATAAACAGCAACAGCTTCAAGAGTCAGTCCAGTGTAACCAGCAGCCTGAGGATACATAACTCTGAAACAATTATCCCCCCTTTATAGGAGGGGGGCTTAAAATGTTGGACTATGTGATTGACAGCTATCCTTTGAAAAGAGGCAGACTGCTACAGTGGTTAGGGTGCTAGCCTCAGAAACCCAGGTTCTTCTTTGAGTGCTAGTTCATGTCCATTCCACAAGTGCTGGAGGTTTTTTCCTCAGCAGTGACCATAGAGGAATGCTCCTAGTGCCCTCTGGAGTGGTGTTTGCATGGCATGGTATAAGGAATGCAAGTTTGCGATAATCATAGAGGAATATCACTGCTTTCCATCGCAGGTAAGATCCTTGCACGAGTGTTGCTGAATCGTCTGATTGACCACCTGGAACAGGGTTTATTACCCGAGACACAGTGCAGTTTCCGCAAAGAGCGTGGCACGGTGGATATGATCTTCGCAGCCCGACAGCTCCAAGAGAAGTGTCAAGAGCAGAATCGTGAACTGTACACCATCTTCGTGGATCTCACCAAGGCTTTTGACACTGTCAGTCGCGAAGGTCTGTGGCGCATCATGTCGAAGTTTGGGTGCCCTGACAGATTCATCTTGATGGTACGTCAGTTCCATGACGGCTCGTGTTCTGGATGATGGAGAAGCTTCAGAGGCCTTTCCAGTCACAAACGGCGTCAAGCAGGGGTGTGTTAACGGCGTCAAGCAAGGGTGTGTGCTGGCACCGACCCTGTTCAGCATAATGTTTTCAGCCATGCTGTCAGACGCCTTTCAGAACAGTTCCTTGGGAATCAGACTGAGATACAGGACCGATGGGAAATTGTTTAACCTGCGAAGACTCCAGGCTGTCACCAAGATAAAAGAGACTGTGTTACGAGATCTCCTTTTTGCTGATGACTGCGCCCTGAATGCTGGATCAGAGCAGGAAATGCAAGCCAGCATGGACAAATTTGCAGCAGCATGCGACAACTTCGGCCTTCTCATCAACACAAAGAAAACCGAAGTGATGCACCAGCCAGCTCCAAAAGCTCAGCATCAAGTGCCCACCATCACAGTGAAGGGACAAAAGCTGCAAGCAGTGGACCAATTTACATATCTTGGCAGCACCCTCTCCCGCTCAGTGACAATTGACATCGAGGTCAACTGCAGAGTCGCCAAGGCAAGCTCTGCGTTCGGCAGACTGTTGACCAAAGTGTGGGACCGCCGTGGAATAAGTCTTGCTACAAAGCTTAAAGTCTATCGAGCAGTAGTGTTAACTACCCTGATGTACGCCAGTGAGACTTGGACTGTATACAGGAGGCACGCTAGGCAACTGAACCACTTCCACACGATTTGCCTCCGCAGACTTCTGAGGATCCGGTGGCAGGATAAGGTGCCAGACACAGAAGTCCTTTCTAGAGCAGGTCTGCTGTCAGTTTACACCCTGCTGATGAAAGCTCAGACATGCTGGGCAGGCCATGTTGCAAGGATGCCAGATCATTGCATCCCTAAACAGCTCTTCTATGGTGAGCTGTTTCAAGGGAAGCGATCGCACGGGGGACAAAAGAAGCACTACAAAGATACGCTTAAAGCCTCTCTCAAGTCCCTGGATATTGACATCACCTCCTGGGAGACCCTGGCACAAGACCTATCAACATGGCACACGCTGATCTACCAAGGCTGTCAAACATCTGAAGCCAGAAGGACAACCATAGCACAAGAGAAGCGAGCACTCCGTAAAGCCAGAGTTACAAAAGCTGCAACAGTGGTGCCCCCACATGTCTGCCTGACATGTGGCAGAACATTCCGTGCCCGTATCGGCCTTATCAGCCATTTGCGGACACACCGTGGACAGTCCACAACCCATTAGATGTCAAGGTCCTCTTCGAATACGATGGACGAACAACAACAATAAGGAATGCTGTGTGCTCCCCAACTCTCAGTTCTTTCTTGCCACCAGTGACAGTGCTGGACCTTTCTGCTGCCTCATACAAGCTTGTTCATGTCCTACAGCTGAATGGTTGACTTCTTACTTTGTTATAGACAGATAGTTCTAGTAGTTGGATCGCTTAGCAGTTAGAATGAGACGTTAGTCCCAGAGGGAACTGTTTGCTTCGAGTCTACCATGACCTGGTCTCCCAGGTTTAAGCCTGCGACTGCTGCAAGCATCCTATGCCCATGAGCAACCTACACAGCAGCTACTTGTAGCATCTGACATATGATCTAGACTGTAAGAAGGAAATAATGACTAGAATAGCAAAAGCAAGAGTGAGTTTGAAAGTGATGGGTAAGATCTGGAAAAGCAAAGTGATTAGCTTAGGAACAAAGCTAAGCATCTTGAAAACGTGTGTCTTCAGCAGCATGTTGTATGGATGTGAGACATGGGTGGTAATGAAAGATTCGAAGAGAAGGATATTGGCATTTGAGAGTTGTTATAGAAAGATCCTGAGAATAGGATGGAAGCAGAAGGTCACCAACAAGGAATTATATAGGAAGATACAGCCGAAAGAGAACCTACTGCAGAAGGTTATATAGCGGAAGCTACAGCTATTCAGGCATATCTGCAGAATGAATGAATGAGTGAAAAGTCAAGACCTTGGTATTCGGCATAATGGATGGTCTGAATAGGAGAGGCAGACCCCACAGAGAATGGGTAGATGATTTAGTAGATTGGTGCAGAGCTAGTCTACAGAAACTAAGCCACTCCTCACTGGACAGGGAAAGATGGAAAGAAATAGTGATGAAGACATCGGACTCCAACGGGCTTTGAGCCCATAATTGTTGATGATGATGAAATCTGGGGCTGCAAGCAGAGATGTTGGAGAAGCATTCAGAGTCACTTTTCAATGTCTTCTGCTGTTTGACACCAAGGAGGGTTGTCCTACCACTTCATAAAGGGGTTCTGAAGATTATCACAGCCTTGTGGCAGACACCCTTCCCCTGGCACCCACATCTAAGCGGGCTAAGCAAAAGTACTTTGTCCTAGCTATTAGCGATGTTAAAACCATTAACCAGTCCCACCCCCCAGTGACCTCCAATGGCAGCCAGCCATGAC